AGAAGAAGATATTATGAATTTTTTTATTGGACATGAGGCAAATCGGCAGGAGGCTGATGTTAAGTGATAAACATCAGCATGCTTATGGACACTCTCAATTCCAGAGGGCTCGCAAACGCGCCCGGCCTTTTTAGTTTCAGAACGCTGTTTTCTTGAAGGACACTAAGTCGAATTGGTTCGGAAATGCTTCAGTGGCAGCTGGTTTCACATACTGGTTTAGCAAAAATTTTCTTAAGAACGCTTAGTTGTGGAAAAAAGTGTTACTACTAATTAAGCCTGACAAGGTGAAAAGGAAAAAGAATCGATTTGGTGAAGGAGAGAGTGTACGTCAGTGTGAAGTATTAAGTGGTGTTATTTGACATTATCTTATACTTTGTGTTATTTTCAAATTACGTTCGACTTAAATCATAGCCTAGATCTCCAATTATGTTTCAAAGAGACAATTAAACAACAACAATTGATTGCTTCTCGGTGGTCATTTTCAGAAACTCCATAGAGACCTTTCGCCGAATCGTTTTAGATTTTTTTTTCTTTATTCCAACATATTATATATGTACTTATATTGTATATTCGCAACCATGCGACTTATTCAATACAAAGACTCCTCTCGTGAGTTGTCTGCTGCGATATTGCAGCCTACACGATTGTGAGGAGACTGTATGGATCTGGTTCGCACTGCGCCTTCTAAAGCCATTTTCACACATTTATAATCTTTTTATAACATATTGTCATTAGTGTCTCATTGTCCTCATAACATGTGTGACGAGAACAAAACAAAATAAAAAAAATATTTCATTCTAAAAAGTAAACAAGCATTGTTCAGAATCAACATGGTGTTACAGCACTATTGGTAGGTTCACACTTCCTATAAAAATTTACAATACCCACGCGTATTGTTTCAAATTTATAAACTTTTTATTTATTTATTATTTTTATCTATATAGTTTTTAACATATTGAGTTAATTCCCTTCTTTCCTTAAACGCCTTCTTTCCTTTGAGTATTCGCCAAATTCGTTCTATGAGACAATTCAATTGTTTCCAACAATTTGATAACGCTATTTAGTAGTTTTCTTGACTTCGTTTATTTTGGCCGTGAGCCTAACTTGGCGTATCTAATTGTTTTGTTTACGTACAAATAGGTCTAAACTTAATTTTCAGATGTTCTTTTGTTCAAAAAGGAAAACTTTTTTGCAAATAAACAATATTTATAGATTTCAAGTCATAAAATAGTTCCTGCAACAAGAATGATTGGTTTTTGGCTGTAATTCCTGACTCTAAAACTTTCTCTGAAAGAACCATCTGGATGGCATCGTATATTTTGATATTGAACTACTTTGTATAGAATTCATAATAATTATGGTACCTGGCCATAGACTCGTCTACCTTCACCTGCTTCACTGTCATCATCATCAATATCAGACTATGTCTAAAACGTCTTCGATTAGGCCTAAGACTCTCCGGTTTTCTTGCGATGTTTTCCTTTACAGTACAAACAAGTGAATTGCGGATAAGAAAATTGCATTGGTACACATAATTCTTTTCTGTCTGTATGAAACACATACTATATTCGTGTTTTCTAATAAGCAAGTAACAAGATCAGCCTTCTCTAAGTGACACAAAAAACAAACAAAAAAACAAAAAATTTCTTTATTAAGTAAATAGTCTTAAATCTATATTTAGGACATCCCTTTTAGGTTCAAGAACCTGTGTTAGGGATGAACGCTCTTTCCTGTATGTTAATACTTAATCTACTTAACAAAGCAAAACAGTAAAGGTACTTAAATAGTTAATTAATTATATTACATACTTGAAAAACCAAACTACTGGCGATTGTTGATATTAATCGTAATAACTAAACAAGTGAGGTAGATTGAAATCAATCACACCATCGTCTTTCTTTTAATTGTGTGAGTGAGACACGAGTGTAACTGTAGTGCAACTCAGACGAGTGTAGTCCGTATGTCGTGACCAGTGCAGGTTAGTACAGCATAGCATGTCTCTTATCAGCCGGATGATGCGACCACATAAAGTATAGAATACTTTAAATAATTATAATATTTTTATGCGGGAAGTAACCTAACTGAATCGAATGGCTACGATATTATAATACTACATAAGACCGAATTAATATTGAACAATATACATAATGAAATAAGGTATGAACAATATACACAATAATATGTAAGAACGAATAATTAGCACACGCTTTTTTTTAAAAAATCATCTTGTAATTTGGATTGATTTTTGATATATATCTATTTATTCAACTTCTACAAATAGATCTTCAGTTTGTTGATAATTTAATGTTTTTAGCAACGTGGTTACTGTTTTTTTACACTCTTTAAACGTCATAGGGTATATATAGGGTATACAGAAAAACTCTATGAAGATTCAGAATTCAGAAGTTGTACAAATTTTGCCTCAAAATAAACAAGAATGTACAACAAAATAAACAAAACCCTATTGTGGACTTTAAGTATGCATTGAAGTATGTATAGTTGCCTAACTGTTAGGAGATCTGAATCTTCATAGAGTTTTTCTGTGGAATATAGTTTACTCTTGCTAAGCATTATTTTCAAGATACTTATCTGCGCACGTTCAATGCTCACAAATTTTGATTTAAATGTGCCGCCCCATATACTTATACAATATAGAAGAACGGACTGTACTAAGGTTTTGTAGATATACATAATAAGCTGTAAATCACAAATGTTACGAAGGCGTTTAAAAATCCAGATCAGCTTCCTAGCACGTTTAGCTTTTACATCGATTTGAGGGTACCAGTTTAAATTTCTATCTATAATAACTCCTAGATATTTTGTGGTTTTAACTCTCTCGATCTTGGGACAAGTGCAATCTTGAGGTACATCGCATACATGAGCCTTTATTTTTAAATCAATATTTGGTTGCAACGAATTTCGTATAGAAAACGGGACATAATTTGTTTTACTTAAATTGAGTGACAGCAAGTTAATTCTTAGCCATTGGATAACAGTGTTCAATCCCAATTCAGCGCAACTGAAAGTTTCAGCCCAGTTTTTTCCGTAAAAGAGCAAGGCAGTGTCGTCGGCATAGCAAAATACTTGTCCATTGAAAAGATGGAGATTTGTAAGGTCGTTTATGTAAACTAAAAATAGTGTTGGGCCGAGGACACTGCCCTGTGGAATGCCAAAATTTGTAGTGAACTCGTCAGAGCTGAGGACATCATCACAAATTCTAACTCGTTGGGTACGGTTTTGAAGATAGTCGGTAAGAAGTTTTAGGAATGAATCTCGGATACCTATTATTTCCAACTTTCGTAACAAGATAGGTACAGAAACAGTATCAAAGGCCTTTTTAAGATCCAAGAAGATACATAATGCCTTTTGTTTACTGTCGATCGTTTTTGTAATTTTACCAGTTAGATCTCGAATAGCGTCCTCAGCACTAATACCCGCACGAAAACCATACTGTGATTCGGACAATATGCCATAGTTGTTAAGATAGTTAAGTAAACGGTTATTTATAAGTTTTTCAGGGATTTTGGAAATTACTGGAAGGACTGAAATGGGTCGATAGTTATTTATATCTTCTTTATTACCACCTTTATGCACCGGGTGTATTATTACACACACCGACGTCTTTTTGTGTAAGTCACGATATTTCTCTTAACCGTAACGAGGGAGTGTTAAATGCACATATAGACAGAAAATCAATCGCACAGCCGGGGATCGAACCTACGACCTCAGATGAGTTACACCCTGAAACCACTGAGCCAAAACCACTCTATTTTATTAAGATAAACGTAATTAATATAAAGTAACTTTGTCGCTAGACTTCAGATAACGTTAACATTTAACGTTGACATTAACTGAGTGATGTATCTTTTCGAATTCGTGTATAAATGAAGATTTAATTTCAACTCCCATTAAAACATTTTCAAGAAACAAAGCGCAAATTTAGGTTACGCATTAAAAGCGGCGTCACCGTAACCGACTCCAATTTTATAGAGAAATGCTGAGCTCTGCTGTCCTACTTTAGTATTCCCAGCTTCTCGCAATCACTTGTTTTTGTAAGCCCTGGAAGGCCCAAATCACGAGCTTTTTGATGCATTAATATTAATGCAATCTCTATGATTTATACACCTATTTGAACGTGTGCTTTCAACATCAATGTTGTTTTATTATTACAGAACTGTACGGCAATTTGGTCGTAATATATGATGTTAAATCAGATGCTGCCTATTGGAGAGGACCTATAGGCCCCTATTAACCCTTCGCTTGAATGAACCCATGTTGTACTGTTTAGGAAAGATTTGACCCCAACGTTGTGTGGCACACTGGCATGTGCACATAATATAAAATTATATCTTATTTCATTAAAATTAAAATTTCGTTTTATTCAGGGTTTTCCAATTCAAATTAAACTATTAGATTTAACATAGTTTGCCATTATTTTAGTGGTATAAAAAATATCTTATCTGAAAGTGCAATTATAGCCCCAAACAAGTATGATCAATGATCATTCTGGTTTGGGGCTTTTTTTTAGTTTTCGGAAATACTCTTAAATTAGGTATCCAAAAAAGGATAATCAAATAACAATTTGTTTCATGTTGTAAACACATATAAAAAGGTTTGGCAGGATAAACTAAAGTCCACCTGGCGCTTTATTTAATTAAGTTAATTATAACATTTAGTTTAGTACATTCTAGTTATTGTATTGTGCTAGATAACTTGATTGTGGTTCCTTTTATAATAACCCGTAACACGTTGTAAATTTATATTTTAAACTCATGTTTGATTCATTTCAAACTATACGATTAGAATTAATTTATATATAATTAACCTAAAACATCGTTTCTGAATGAATTATTTCATATAAAATCATGCATAAAATCGTTTGTGATGCTATCATCAATTTACCCTTTTTAAGAATTCATTTGTTCTATGTTAATTCAATTGTTTTGTGAAAAATTTACAAGTATGTTCTACGCTCCTTGCATAGTAATTAATTCACTCACCTCAATCAGAATATTTGCTGCTCTGTATGCTCTGTCAGCCGTGTTCTGCGCCTGACATGTAAACGATTGGTTATGGTGCTCCTCTTTCGGTGGCATTTTTATCACCGACCTGTTGATCATAAGAATATCACTAACACGCTAAAGGATTTAAACGCGAGTTTTCTACGTTTCTTTGTTGTCACTCGCTGTCTACGACAATATTTTTATAGATCAGGGGGCAAACGCAGGAGGCTCCCCTGATGTTAAGTGATACCGCAGCCCATCAATGCCAGAGTGTTCGCGAGTGCGTTGCCGGCCTTTTAGGAATTGGTACGCTCTTTTCTTGAAGGACTATATAGGTTTATATCAAAGTAATATGATAAATACATTCCGATAAAAGTCTCTTTTGTTTTCACAGTTTTGCATACATAGAAAAGTATTTTAGACACCTTAGTACATCTCAGAAACAACCCAATACGAATTATGTTTATATTTAAAGTGAATTTAAACCTTCCCAACTAGACACATTAGAGAATTAAGAATATTACGACTCTGGGATACAGATATGCTTGAGAATGCTGTAATTAAAACTGTTTTGAGAATCTTAGAACAAAAAACTAAGCGATTTAAAGCGAGGATTTTATTGCTAGTTCTTGTCCGTTCTACATTTGATTTGAGAACTGGCAGTACCTAAATATATTATGTGAGTAAATTAATCAATAAAGATTTTTATTAATTTGACGATTATTTAAAGGATCCTAATCCTGGGGATTGATTTTCTCCAGTTTTATTTGTATGACTTAAAACTTGGCGATTAAAAAGAGTGGTGTAGAGTTTCTTGCCAGTTCTCCTTGCCCACTGTACGCCCTTGACTTGCGAACTGGTAGTAAATGCAAATTTAGAATCAATTTAACATATTTTCTGTTGACGTTCATAAGTGTACTTGGTTACTTACATGAATATAGTTATTTTGAGTTTGAGTTTAATTGTCAGTCATAAATGAACACTGACGTTACCTTTATTAATAAATTGTATTTTGTTTTTTTATAACTCTTTCGTTCGTGTCAGGCATTAATTAAGTTAAAAAGCCCTAATCTAAGTAATCAAAACCCATTTTATTGTTAGACTTTTCGAAAACTATAATTGTGGGTATACAACCTGTAATTAACTGTGATGCCTATGTAGATCAGTAGACACACCATAATTTCAACTGAACAAACAAACGTTGATTTCTTGAAAACCAAAATAAAGTGAGACTTATTTGGGTCATTAATTATTTGAACTTTTAATGTTCGTGTTCCGATTGATGTTTCAAAAATAAATAAATCCTTTATTTGCATTGAATTAAATGTGTTGCGTTGTTGTCCAGTTGTATGTATTATTATTTTTTGTATTTATATTAATTACATAGTTTTAAAAAAATTAACATAAATCATTAGAAATGCAAAGGGTGGCCTTATCGCTAACAAGCAATCTCTTTGAACAAACCTAGTAAAGAAAAAATAATTAAAAGCAATTTAATTAATTATGTCATATTCTATGTTAATAACTAAAACTTATAATCGATGGCGTATTCTAGAACGCGTCTCATTTCAAGAGCTGTGAAACAATTTTGTCTATATGAAGCTTATATTTTGACAGCGCCCAAGACGAGGTTTTCACTAGAGATACGAATTAGAATGTGGACCTAAGAACTCCCTCACTTTATAGAAGCATCACTTTCCCGTTACATGAGAAAGACTACAAAATTCATGTCCATAAATTCAAAAACACTAAGTAACTACGTAAAAATATTTCAAAGTATTCTATTCTTTTTTTTAAACTGATTTCCCTTTTGACATAATATGCCTCCAATTCCATCATTCGTAATTCTTAACATATGTATAATATTTCAAAGATGAAGCTCAATTATCAGAAATGCCTGACACTGACATAGGTAGGGTTGTCGACGATTTACTCACCTGGCAGTAAATCTCTGTCCATCAGGCAACGGTTCTACGGTGTAAGTGACACCCTGCGTCAAAACGCCGGCATTGCTGTCCACCCAAGTTATCTGAAAGGAAATATTAATGATTGCTTTAGGATTGCAGGTTTCGCCTTGATAAGCTTCTATCGAATGACAAATGGTGTTGAATGCTTTAAGGGTTTAATTTTTTTATTCATCACATACATTTATATATATGGACAATTCCAGAACACTGGCAAGTTTTTGCGAACGCTCGGTTTCTTGAAAGATCCTAAGTTAGTACATGGAAACACAAATATAATATATATTTTGACATAATATTGTAGAGAAAATCTTTGTATATATAAATCTGTGCGTGTGATTACACTTAAACCCATCCTAAACGCCAAGGAGGATTTTGATGTTCTTTTTCTGTGTATAGAAGTGTTTTTTTTATATCTTAATATATATATTTCTTCTGTGCGTGTGTATGTGACCGAACTCCTCTCAAACGACTGGACCGATTTTGATGAAATTTTTTGTGTGTGTTCAAGGGGATCTGGGAATGGTTTAGATTCACAAATCAGCCCGGCAGATGGCACTGCAGTCGGTACTTTCATACTTTGCTTAATATCCTAATCGCTTTAAATATCATGCAGGACAACGTCTGTGGGGTCCACTAGTATATTATATATTGTCACTGTAGAATGATGACCTTGTAAGTCAAAAAAGTCTTTTTTATGTCACTAAACTGGTATAATCGTGAAGTAAGGACTTATTTATGTTATTAATAAATAATTCCTTTTTACCATCAATAACTATGGACAACATTTTAACGAACATTGACGAAATGAAACATTTTTTTCGTTTCAATTTGGTTCGTAAATACGACTGTCGGGTCAGCTAGTATAAAATAGATTTCTGAACAAATATAATTATATTTTAGCGTTAAATGAACCTTTAAGTAGGGGCGAACGCAAGCTGAGCACATTGGATTTTTATTTTTATACAATTAATACGTAGTAAAGCTTGAATAAGAAAACCTTAAATTGACGATATTTATATAAACAATTGGCTAGTTAGAAGTTTAATTAAAATCGAATCGAAAATTATATAGCTAGAGTAGATATATAGTATGTTGGTAAACATATGCAGCTTTTAAAGCTTCTTTAAAAAAACCTATGGTGGTAACCTATTTTGAAAACATTATTCTTTATTTAAATAATGCTATTGTATTTTAAAGGGGTTAGTTATCATTTGATATCTCTTAGCATTTTCATTCCCATTTGGCTAAAACCACAATACTCATTTTCACAAATGAATTCAGTTTTGTTAATTT